GCAAAAGGCTTCTTAGGATTACCAAGAACAATACACAAACCAAATTTGAAGTTCATATGTTCAAATTTGAAGTTCATACACCCATCCACCAACACACACACCCACGCACCCACTGTCGTGTTTTACTATACGCCTGAGGACAACCTATTGTGTTTCCCTTTGTCCCTCTAATATAACACTTTCCCATAGACTAAGCACATAACCGTACGATCGAGGACCGGTTTTAACAATAGGCACCGTCGTCCGAGGATCAAAGGCCCCTTTGTGCTCCTTTTGTTGTCTGTCCTCAAGCGTAATACAATACAAGAGCACACACCCACGCCCACCCACTCACGGAAGGACAAGGCGGAAACAGTATGCCCCTTCGGCTTTGCCGCGGGGCATAAAAATAGGACAGGTAGGTAGGATTTTTTTGGGGGGGGCAATATTTTTGTGTGTACGATCATATGGAGGTGTCTACATGTAGTCAAGGGTAAGGCAAAAAAAAAATAACACTTCTGCTTCCGGTTACCCAACCGACCCTATTTTTAGGCCGCGACCCTAAAATTTTTATTGGCTATTAAAAAAAAAAAACCAAAAATACCTCTCAACAACCCTTTTGCGTCAAAAATGCGTGTATTTATTAGTTTTCTTACAGTTGCTTTTTTTTCTTCAAAAGAAACCTTCGTTCTTTTTACAAGTTTGCTACACGATATAACTACACGATATAACTACGTAGTTCAATGCAGCGACGACTGGTTCCCGCCGCGCCGCGCAGGGGCCAATCTAGAAGACATGATGAAAATGCGGTAACCAGTCTGTGCATGGCCTGAATTTTCCATTAACCCTTACTCTCTGAGGGTAGTTTACTGCATGTCAGTTGGTTATGCCAATGCCCTCCAGCTGCAGTTTATTGGAGGATACTTTGATGTAGCAGTGAAGGCTCCAATTGGCAGGAGTTGGAGGCCCTGGAGGGTGCCTGATACTGACCAGCTGGGGGCACTCACTTTATTATCAGAGGACTCTCATTGTTCTCTGTGGCATGTATTGGAGTGCCTGTCCAGTTACCCTTGAAATGACATGGCAGATATTGGAGGGCCATGCAAAAAACATAGGAGATTTTCTTGAGGCACAATTGGCATGCGTTGGAGGGTCAAGTAGGGTAAGGGTTAATTCTAAGAATTATCGAAAGTAAATATATTGACAATAATTAAGGTAGGTTTTATTCACTTTTTGTGTCCATTTTGTGTATAGCTTTCGTAGTGCAATGGAAATATTTCACGCTATTTCAATTGAATACCCCATTCAATCTACATAAAAAAAAATATACATGTATTTCTGACAGACCGACCCTATCTTCGAAAGGCATGTAATCGGAAGCAGAAGGGGTTTTTTTGGGGCCTAAAAGGTAGTTGGTAGTTGGATGATTTTCAGGTTTTTTTTCCTCATTTTCCCCAAAAACAAATAGGGTAGGGGCTGTCAAAATAAATAGGTAGGGTACGTAGGGTAACCGGAAACAGAAATATTATTTTTTTTTGGCCTTGGTCCTGTTTTGAATTACAGTTAAGGCCAATCAACATTGATTTTTACGTTTTCATCACCGCCCGCCTCGATTTTCACTCACGCCCCAATTTTTTTATATTTTCTACTTTTTCTGAAAGTGTGTTTTTTCCTTAAAAAAAAAAGTACTTTCCAGAAAAGTTTCTCAGCAAATCCACAGGCACGGTTGCACTGATTTGCACACAAACATTGTGCACGACATACATGTACATGTACTGAACACATCACGCGAATTCATAGTGCTAATGCATACGTCATCGTATAGTCGGGAACCATGACGAGTCGATGTGGTATTGATACGACAATGCTCTAGGCACCATACAGAATTTCTTATGCTAATGGAATACGTCATCATATAGTTGGGAACCATGATGAGTCCATGTGGTATTGATACGCTCTAGGCACCATACAGTGTACAGTACTTGTTGTTATAAAGTTTTTAAAGTTCAAAGTTTGACATCTAGCTGGAAAGGGTAGGCCAATTGTTGTGTTGTTTGTTTGAACACTCAGTCAACTGTAAACCTAGTCTGCTATAAACTGTGAGGTTCATTACCTTCTCTAAATTCCAGACACAAACCCTAGGTCATTTAACAGCTGACTGGTACTTATTAAGTAGTTTTCATGTTTGTTGTGTCAAAAAGATTTCCGTACTAGACCTCCACTTTTTTCCAATCAATTTTCAAGCGCCAAAAAGTTGCATCCTTTATGGTTATTTCCTTCACTTTCCCTCCTCTTCTCTCACCCTCTCCTTTCCTTCATTCCACTTTATTAATCAGTCACTTACTTCATGGAGATCCATCGAGATTCAAACATCAGACTCTTCTTTAAAACACAACACTTTTACCACTACTGTTTACCACTTGTTGCAATAATCAATCTTTGGACGTATTTAAAGTATCCATTGAAATAAGACTAATGAATATTACATACACTAAATATTCATGAGAAATTAAATATTCATAATGACAAATTGCACTGTCATTGGCCGGCTCATGCTTTGTCGATGTCATGCATACCGCACTAAACTTCCAGACACTTCAATCAATATGGTCGGCTGCTTCCAACTTAGGGTTGCAGACCAGTAAATAAACTTCCATAGACCCAATGGTAAATGCTCCCACTTCAGAAATTCGGGAAAAATACTCACAACTCTCCAAGGTGTTTGAGACACACATCAAATTAAAGCTTATTTCATCATCTTTCATTTTCTTTTCAATTTTCGGGGGTTAACTGATGACTTTTAGGAGAAATTTCCATCCGATGATGATCACCCCTGAAAATAGTCCTGAAGCCCATCGCCATGTTGAAAAACGATGCCTACACTCCATTGCAAAATAGAGCGCTTTAAGGGCCCCAATTTCATCCAAATTAAACGGAACTACAAGCTCACAGTCCTGTGCATGGCTTCCACCCATTTTTTTAAAAACCCTCAAGTTCATGGCCCACAGCATGCTCAAATACTGAAGATTTTGAGGGCATGCAAATCGTGATTTGGCCAGCGTAGGCAATTTCGGACCTATTTACTGGTCTGCAACCTATAAAGAAGCGAGGTTTTGAAAAATTCCCGCAAACCATTTGTACGGCACGAGGAAGGATGGATGACTCATATTTCATCAAAAAATTGCGAGAAAAAAAATGGAAAAATTTCCACAACTTTTTTTCAATTAATTTTCAAGCACCAAAAGTTGTATCCTTTAAGGTTATTCCCTCCACTTTCCCTCCTCTCACCCTCTTCTTTCCTTATTTCTATTTATTTATCAGTTACTTACTTCATCGAGATTCGAACCTCGGACTCTTGCTTGCAACACGAGACTCTTAACTGCTAGGCCGCGCATGATCGCTGTTGCGATAATCATTCTTTGGACGTATTTGAAGTAGCCATTGAAATAAACTAAATGTTCATGAGAAAATAAATATTCATAATGAAGTATTGCACTATCATTGGCCGGCTCATGCGACGTCATGGTTGTCGATGTCATGCGTATGACGGACCGCTGTCTGTCAGCCACTTAATCAGTTTTGACCGGCTGCTTCAACTCAGTTCTGCACAACGTGTGCATCCGAAATGGGCTCTAAAAACACATTGCCTAATTTTTTTTGCATTAACACACAGCTTCCTGGATTCCTCTTGGGTGAAATCACAAGGTAAGGTGAAACTTGATGTGTTTAGCGGCAGGTAAAGTTGTGGCCGAGTATGGGCATTTTCCCCCAAAAAAATCTCCGACTGCGATTTTTGGCCTGAAAACAAGCCCTCTGTTTGCGGCTACCTTGCTGTAGGGTGCCCCCAAGGCCGCGCTCCAAACATCAATAAAAGAGAATTGCAGGGTGTAGTTGACCTTAGAAAGTTGATTTGTTATAAAATCACATTGGAGAAAAAAGTTGTGGATTCCCCAAAACAGCAATGCCGTTATTTGTGTGTAAATTTCCCATACGTGGTCACATTGATTTCAGCCAAATTGAGCATCATTTTAATTTAAGGCCAAAAAAATAATTAAAAAATGCAATAATTTCAGAACTGCTTGCCCTATGAAGCTAGGACTCAGGAGACCACTTGTTTAATTGCATTTTGAAAGCTCTTTGAGATAAAGTAAACTACACTAGCGAATCAACTTTGAAATTTGATGATTCTACCTAACCTTACGATTCAGTGCGCCGTGCGTGCTCACGGTACATCGCACGGTGATCGTCATCTTTATTTTCGGGTCACGTGTTGTCGCCGCGCTGTCATCGTCATTTTTTTACCCCCAAATTTCCGTCAAAAAATCAAAACCCTGCCCTCTACATGTATCTATGACATAGGCTCTACCTGCTTATTGTGAATGTCGCCAACTAGTTTGGTAGGTCCAATAATTTTAAAGTGGATTTTGTTCCCATATATTAATTTTATGTAAGTTATACTAGGAACCGGGCCTACACTACACGATCGCCGAAAATAGTAGGCCTAGTAATTTTTGGTATGAAAATGAAAGAGCGGCCCGCCGCTGGAAGTCAACATCTTGGTAATCCTTACTTTTAGGACACCTCTATTTTGTACGAATTCTGTTCAAAACTGACTTTTGCAGATGACTGTCCAGTACCAAAGTGACTTTTGCAGGCCAAAGCAGTCTTTTTTTCTTCAAACTCATGTTAGTTGTAATTTTGAAAGCACTTTCAAAGAAAATGTGACTAAATTCTACCTTTTTTTGCAGTTCGCCATCTTGCTTTTTAAATATATTTTCTGTTTGTCATCGTCGTCTTTTACCCCTCATAAATCAAAGCCCTGCCTTCTTTCTACAAAATTAAACCTGCTGATATTCAAGAGGTGTCATTGCCAAATGTTCAAATGTGCCAAGAAATATCGAATGTCACTTTTGATTGTCATTTAGTCAGCTGTTTTGGTGAGTCTCTAACCTTATATAGGATTACCAAAATGTTCTTCCCGTTCCCCAATCTTTGTCGTTGAATGTTATCATTTAACTTACATCTTATGCCTCTCTTGACTTTGGTCCAGCATCCTGCTTTTGCCTGTTCCGCCTTCTGCTTGGCGACCTTGGGATCAATGGTGCGAATCTCTCCCCCGACGTACAGCTCACTTTCCATGGCAGTGGGCGCGTTAACCACCTCGCCGTCGTCCTCCTGGTCCCCATAGTCGTCCCCATAGTCGCCGTTAATGCCTTTCTCCTCGTTGCCGATGTCAAAGCCGTCATTGTCGCTCCAGGCCTGGCGGGAAGCGGAGCTGGATGGTCGCCGCTGCATCCCGTCGTCAATAATCTTGTCCATCTCAACTTCGTCACGCGGCGTCAGCCGTCCGGCGGTCGAACCCCCAGTGACTGGTCGCGGACTTACCCGTCTTGTTGTCATGTTTTCCTATGCAATCTAGACACCAGATTGGGTAACTTTTCTTTTCAATACGTATGGTTTTAAAAGATTCTATCCGAAGTTCAGATAAAATTCAGGGCTTTAAATTGAGTGCGATCATCACTGACACTGAGTCGTTTGTGTTTGTGTGTGCCTCCGCCGCCTGCACAGAGCTGGTGATAGCTAGCGCAGAATGGTAGGTAGGTACGCGCGATCGCGATCGATGGCTACAGTTTTAGTCGGGTACCGATATACTTTCATCGATCCAATTCAATGCAATGACGTCAGTGTAATGAAAGGAAGTCTAGTTCCTTCCTCGAACCTTTCCTTGGACGTTTCAAAGATTTCGCCGTGAAGAGATCCAGACTACTTTCTCAAACTTTCTCACATGTTTGGAGAATTTAAAAAGTGATCAAAACGGAAAGCGATCAACAAAGTTCCATTTCTCTTCAACAATTTTCGACTACCTTTCCCCCCAATTTTCGCGAAATTCGAATGTGTTTATTCCAGAACTAATTGTGGGCCAATTGTTTTTCAAAAGTAGAAAAATTGCTATTAAAAAAATAGGTCACAAAATTCGAAACCGTCTAATACTTCACGCGGGCATCCCAAAAAAGTTAAAAAGATAATCTAGTTGCTGATTTGCTAGCGTTCCAACAAGACATCGGATTGAAAATTTATTCATTTTCTAAGAATAAATGAATCTATGTTCGGTACATTCGGTAGACTCGAACAGAATGCGCCCCGCATAGGCTCTAAAAACACGTTCCCCCGAAATGACAATTAAACGTCGTGTGCCAACTGAAGGGAAAAGGCGTTAGAAGCACCAGACGTACGAAAGCCTGTTAGTGCCATCGAATGTATAAATGGCTCTTTTGCAAGTATATGTTTGGTGAATCTTGAATTTTGGATGTATATGTTTAACAAGTCTTGTTTTTTGGATGTACATGTTTGGCGAATCTTGTTTTTTGCAAGTATATGTTTGGCAAATCTTGTTTTTTGCAAGTATACTGTTTCCCGAGTCTCAGTTGTTTTTTGCAAGTATATGTTTGGCGAATCTTGTTTTTTTGCAAGTATAAATTTGAAAAATCTTGTTTTTTGCAAGTAATTTTCGCAAGTCTTGTTTTTGTGAAGTCTATTTTTAGTAACAGTCTTGTTTTTTTGCAAGTATATGTTTCCCGAGTCTTGTTTTTTGCAAGTATGTTTGGCGAGTCCAGTTTTGTGAAGTCTATTTTTAGTAACAGTTTTTTTTTTTTTGCGAGTATATGTTTGGCGAATCTTGTTTTTTGCAAGTATGTTTCGCGAGTCTTGTTTTTGTGAAGTCTATTTTTTAGTAACAGTCTTGTTTTTTGCAAGTATATGTTTGGCGAATCTTGTTTTTTGCAAGTATAAATTTGGCAAGTCTTGTTTTTTGCAAGTACGTATTTGGCGAATCTTGTTTTTTTGCAAGTATGTGTTTGGCAAATCTTGTTTTTTGCAAGTATGTTTGGCGAGTCTTGTTTTTGTGAAGTCTATTTTTAGTAACAGTCTTGGTTTTTTTGAAGTATATATTTCCCGAATCTTGTTTTTTGCAAGTATAAATTTAGCGAGTCTTGTTTTTTGCAAGTACAAAGTATATGTTTCTCGAGTCTCGTTTTTTGTAAGTAAATGTTTTGCGAATCTTGTTGTTTTTAAGTCTGTTAGGCGGTGTGCATGAGGGCGCTGTTGTTTGTGATGAAAGTAGCCATGCCGGTAGTAGAGAGCAACCAATTAATTCGTTTCAACTTTAATTTAGGCCTTAATTACGACGAAATAATGCATCACTTCTCGCAAACAACAATATTGTTATCAGCAAACGGCATCTTAACCGGAAACTGCGAGCTCTAGGGCTTTTCCGGCGAAAAAAATCACACCGTTATTGCAGACGTCGCCACCTTTATCGAAGGAGAGTTGCAAACGTCTGGGCAATTGCATGGCTATAAATGGATGCACTTGCGATGCGTTCAGAGTGGTATCAGTATTGATAGAGAAACAGTGCGCCATCTGTTAGAAATACTTGAACAAGGTTTTCAACAAAGGGCAAGGAGAGGCTTCAGAGACGCAGATATCACGTAAGCGGTCCCAATTTCCTGTGGCACTTGGACTCGTATGATAAACTAAAACCCTATGACATTTGCATAAATGGCTGCATTGATGGGTTTTCCAGGAATGTGCTTTGGTTAGAAGCTTACGTAACAAACAGCGATCCTTATGTCATTGCTGGTTATTATGTGAGAACGGTAAGGGCCAAAATAGGATGTCCAAGAGTAATTCGGTCAGACTTTGGAACTGAAAATGGTACAGTTCGACAAATGCAACACTTCATGAGAACCAATTTCCAAGATGCGTTTGCAGGAGACAGGAGTTTTCTACAAGGTACCAGTCAACACAATCAGCGCATCGAATATTGGTGGAGTGTGTTTCGAAAACACTGCACACAGTATTGGATGAACTTAAAGATGATGGTCATTTCAGTGGTGATTTTCTGGATACATCTTTAATACAGTGAATCTAATCCAGGTAAATGATTACATGTATAGGCGTTATAAAATAGTTTGTCGTTGCACAAGTCCCAATGTAAAATCCTTTATCTGTGAAAGCCGTTTCACTTTCAGCCTTTGTGAACAACAAATAATTAAAATACCTGAACAATTAATCTTATTTGCTCATACAGGGTGATATTGACACTACCGTGAAGGCCGGAGTGGAACTGTCACAGAATAGCTTCATCAAGAAATCGACATGGTCCATTCGGTCGACCTATGGTGATGTACGACGGTGCCCCAACTGTATGGAACGCAACATTATCTTGTTCCTTATACTTGCAAAAAACAAGACTCGGGAAACATAATTTTTTATACTTGCAAAAAACAAGATTCGCCAAACATTATACTTGCAAAAAAACAACTGTTACTAAAAATAGACTTCACAAAAACAAGACTCGCGAAACATACTTGCAAAAAACAAGACTCGGGAAATATATACTTCCAAAAAACAAGACTGTTACTAAAAATAGACTTCACAAAACTGGACTCGCCAAACATACTTGCAAAAAACAAGATTTGCCTAACATATCGTCACCGTTTTCACGAAGAGGCGAATTTAGTATTTAACTGTCTGAACAAACATTCGAGATAATCGTGTTTAAAGTTGGTCCTTTTTTATTTGACAATTTGAAACTTAAGGATGCATAAAATATGCAAGATTTAGGTATCAGAGGAACTTGAGGAGAGCTTCTTATCTTCCTAAATGTAGCAAACTTTAAGAAAAATATGTGATAAGTTTTGCAGAATTAATCAATTAAGAGAAGTGGCTGTTCGTGAAAACGAAAACAAAGACCGATTAGCAAATTCGCCCCTTCGTGAATTCGCTAAAGTAACTACGCGCAGATTTCGCCCTTTCTGCGGTCTGAGTCAATGCATTTTTTGTACTGTACGCGCAGATTCTGCTCCACTGCGCATGCGCCTTGAAATTCGCCCCTTCGTGAAAACGTTTTATTGCACGCGCATGGAATTCGCCCTTTCGTGATATTACAATGTATTTATTTACTGAAAATTTACTAATACCAGAGTGCGGAATTCGCCCCTTCGCGTGAAAACGCAAAACGGCACTTTTGGCAAATTCGCCCATTCGTTAATTAGGTTAATTAAGATTTTAATTAATTTTTTGAAAGTATAGCCTCACTAGGTTGTAGATATTGGTATCTTTATTCATTTTCACAAAAAAAAACAAATTTCGAAAAACGGACGATTTTTATGAAATTGCCCCTTCGTGAAAACGGTGACGATATAATTGCAAAAAACACGACTTGTCAAATTTATACTTGCAAAAAACCAGACTCGCGAAACATACTTGCAAAAAACAAGATTTTCAAAATTTATACTTGCAAAAAACAAGATTCGCCAAACATATACTTGCAAAAAACAAGACTCGGGAAACATAAACTTGCAAAAAACAAGACTTGCCAAATTTATACTTTTTAAAACCATGCATACTTCTAAAGTAAGGAACTGGAGTGATTTTATTCCAGAGCCGTGGGCCTTGATGTCGAACTGTTTTAATAAATAAAGCAGTTCTTGCCTTTCCAATGTGAAGCTTAGCTGCTGATATGGTACCATGGGATCGCCTCATCCCCAGTTCTGGCGGACCTGTTTATGGAAGAATTTGAACAGACAGCACTCAGGCTCCTCACAGCCGACCAGAAACCGAGTGTGTGGCTCCGGTATGTGGATGATACCTTCATCGTGTGGCCGCACGGCACTGAGAACCTCCATCTGTTTCTAGAACACCTCAAAGCAACTACAATGGATCAGGAACGTGATGGCTACATCTCGTTCCTGGACGTTGAGGTATCTAGGCAACTCGATGGAACCCTCAGTCGCAATGTGTACCGCAAACCCTCACACACGGACCGCTACCTCCACAGCCGATCCTTTCACCACCCAAGTCGTCCATCAACCGCACCCTGGTACGGAGAGCATTCAACATTTGCGACCAAGAACACCTGAACCAAGAACTCCACCATGTCAAGACCGCCCTTCAATGCAAAGGATACAAGACCATCAAGACACAAGACCCAAGAACATCTCCCGACCAAAGGGTCTCTTATACCCAAGGTCATTCCCTATAGGTGCAAGTCATCAGTCACCCTACCATACACAGGCAGTTCCTCCCACGTCATCCAACGCATCCTGAACAACAACGACATCAAGGTCTTCCACAGCGCACCAAACAAGATCCACGACTTCCTTCAGTCCCACAAAGACAAACAGTGCCCCGAGACCAAGCCAGGCGTTTACTGGATTCCATGTGAATGTGGCAAGTATACATCGGGGAAACCGGGCGTGACATCACCACATACAAGACTGAAGGAACACAAAGCACATGGCCGACGAGGAGAGTACGACAAATCCTCCATCATCAAACATTCTCACAGCATGGACCACAACATCATCTGGCAATAAGCAAGACTCATCACCAGCATCCAACAGTGGCACCCAGGCGTGTCCGAGAGGCCATGGAAATCTACAAACATGACACCGTTCCCACAAGACATTGGCTACCACATCAGTGACATTTGGCGACCACTACTTCATCGCGAGTCCAATGGGTCTTCTATACCCACGGACAACGGCCCATCCCCATAGTTCCCCCCCCCCCCATGATTAGTTTTGTTGCCATATGGGTCTCCTATAC